AAAAAAAAAAAAAAACTTTTAAAAAAAAAAAAAAAAAAAAAAAGAAAGAAAAAAAAAACTAACGCGGCGATCCCCTAAAATCTTTATATGTACATGAGCTAACATATGCATACAGACGGATGCGCATAGATTTTCTAGAGGACCTACGCTCCCGCTTGTAACACCAAGGATCCGCCATTTACATTGTCTAGGATAGCTTGAGATTTACGAAGCATTTTCAATAGTCCTATATACACGCATACTTGTACGGATAGACAACAACGTCGTCCCAGATAAAAAGTAACAAAACAACTTTGCGCCTAGCGGATTTAATGGCAGTCTCCTCTCTCCCTTCCATCCCCACCCCGCCCTTACCCCAATAACCCTCGCTCTCACTCTCTCTCTCGCTCTCTCTCGCTCTCTCTCTCTCTCTCTCTCGCTCTCTCTCTCTCTCTCCCTCTCTCTGACTCACACCCCCTCCCCTGCCCTCACTAGTAGTACGGCAGTCTTTTGAAAGGTATTCGGAGGCGATTCGTTAAGGGCAAGCGAACCTTACGGGCACCTTGCCCCGCCGACCGCCTTGCATCGCTTTGCCTTTGTTAACCAACACGTGGCTAGAGACGAAGAGGGGCTGCTTTTTCCGCTCAGCGGCCTTACTCGAAACTAGACGAGTCTCGCGTAGGTTTATTATGGGCCTTTGGGAGGAGGAACGAACGACTGTGCCGCTCATCCTCGCCACGTATGTACGCGTGTATAAAGGAGGAGGAACCCCTTTTATTCAATCGCCGATCGAGAGATGCGTGTTGAGCAAGCGGCTTAGGGATTTTCCGGCTTCGCAGCCGCCTCTTCCGCTAGTTTTCATGCCGATTCTCGTCGCTCAGCTTCCTCTTTCAAATGTTAATTCTTTTCTTTGACTATTTTCTCGCTATTCCCCACCCATCTCTTTCTCTCTCTCTCTCTCTCTCTGACTTTCTTCCTTCGTTAGATACCTCCCCCACTCTCCTCTCACTCTCCTCGCTTCATCTCTCTTTTACGCAATGTGGCGAGAAGTGTTCCAACATATGGAAAGTTAACGCCGATGTCGGGACCGGAATAACAATTTCCTACTTCTCGAGGAACATTCTTACGAATTATAATGAAGGGAAGTACGTCCCTATACAATGGTCCACGGTATCGCTCTAAAAGTTCCCGATTCTTCCAAAGATTTATGCTCAATAATCGACATCGGCGAATTCTCAATGTCCAAAATTTTTACGAATACCATCGACGCTTTCCTCCCCCCGTGCTCGTCGCACTCATTACCGTTACATACCCAAAAGCCAATACATTAAGGCGATGCGAAATATCAAGGAGGGCATTACGAACAGCATACGAGCCCACTGCTAATTAAACTATCGAAAATTACGAAGATACTCAAGTGTGACAAGGGGACTGAAGGAATTAACAGGTTCCGAGCCGAAACTCAGCCAGATTAGACGAGCCGAGCATTATGTATGACAGATCGATTCCGCCCCAAGTCAGGCCCCATTTGAATAGTGGCACGCGACCATTCTATTAAAATGTGACGAGGTGCCGCACTCTTTCGCTCTTCACCCTTTCGCCAAAGAGGTGCGCGGCCCGTAAAAATACCTGACTAACAACGACACCGCTAGTCTCGGTCCCTCTCAGACGGCGCCCGTCTATTCAGCCATTCACGCGAGCGCGTGGCTTCCCGAGATGTAAAGTAATTCCACGGGGTGTCTACATAAATAAGCATAAAGTATATATGCCCACACGTAAGCATAAGGCACACGCTTATAAGAGCACGCGACCCCACGGGGTGTCTACATAAATAAGCATAAAGTATATATGCCCACACGTAAGCATAAGGCACACGCTTATAAGAGCACGCGACCTGACTCAGAGAGAGAGAGAGAGAGAGAGAGAGAGAGAGAGAGAGATAGATAGAGGCAAAAACGCATAGATCCACGAGGACCCTTTGTACCGGCAAAGGGTGTTTTCACCTTTTTATGACCCTTGACGAGTCGACGCGCAGGCTGCGTTATATGCATACACTGATTCCCGTTGCCCTCGCATCTGCATTTTCGAAAGGGTCGAGGCAATTGATTACCTAGGCTCTCCGTCATTTTTACCCCAAGTATTCGACCTGCCTCGGCTTGTGCCGGCTACTAGTCACCTGCGAATTACGAGCCTTAGCGAAGCATGCTTACGCGGCCCTTAAGCCACTTATTTACGTCGCGTGCCGTTATTTGTTATGCACCTTTGACATCTTATTCACGTCGAGGACGATATGAGAAAGTAAGTTGGCGATTTAGTGACATTTTCATTATATCGATGATCATGGACGAAATATTACAGGGGCTGTTGCAGAGCGGTGGCTACCCTCAGAGATCGAGTCACCCGCACTCACAGTCCATGCAGGTACTACAATAATAGGAATTACCTTAATCTATAAAATCTTATAATTTTGGCTTCTCCCGGCGCTCTGACGCTTCTAACGATCCAAACTCAACTAGATTCGAATTTTTCACTCGAATTTAAGCATGGAAATCGTCACGTACGCTCCCTCTCTGCTAAAAATTATAACTGCCAAAACAATAATATGAGCATAGAAAGCAATAAACGAATTATACTTAGAATGAGAGGCCTTGCGGTTCTCGTGCGTTCACTTCATTCCTTCAATTCACCGTTTCAACAAGCTGTTTTACAATACGACGCTTTTCTAAAGCTTTAATTTCACTCTGATGCAAATAAAGATTTTCACGTAATAGCGAAGCCACTATGCGAATGGCCAGGGAGGAAAAGCGTCTTTAATCTTACCGATTCAATACCGAATAAACCTTTAAAATGGCCGTCCTTTAATTCAATAATCGGCATCCCAAAGATACCGATTCAATGAACGTTCGCCGCGGATATTAAACGCGCAAGTAGCGAGATAAGGGACACGGGAGAATGTATTCAGTCGAGAACGGATTCGGCAAGCGAGTCGACTGAAGATTCTCGTTGCCATTCGCAGGTACAGCAGGCAGTGGCCCAGGCGGCCCAGCAGCTTCAGGCGCTGCAGAAGCAACAGGCGTTACAGGGCGGCGGGGGTGGCCTCGTAGCCAGGAACCTTGGGCAGCAGCAGCAGCGCTCGCCGCCGCCTCCCGGTACGCCCCCGGCAGTGAAGCCATCACCCGCGAGGCTCGAGCCTTCCCCCGAGGAGACAACAGACCTCGAGGAGCTCGAGCAATTCGCCAAGACCTTTAAACAACGGAGGATCAAGCTCGGCTTTACACAGGGCGACGTTGGTCTTGCCATGGGTAAACTATACGGCAATGATTTCTCCCAGACAACCATCTCCAGGTGAGCACGTGACACTTGGCTTATTAGTATTATTTTAATTTTGTAGAATTTTGAAAGGTTGACCGCTATTATCATCCTCTTGCGTGGGATATATTTTTTTTTTTTTTAATTTACCTTAAATTTTTTCATTACTAACACATTCGTAATTGCACCGACAAACTATCTCTTTTGAGTAACAAATTGCCTTTCTTTCAATTCACTATAATGTTACCACAATGTGTTGTTTTTTATTTTTATATTTATTTTTAATGAATTTAGAGGCCATTCGAATAATTATTTGAATTATAATTAAGTTAATTGACTGCATATTTACAATAGTAGCGCTGAAACTCTGAAACTGTAATGAGAAGCGTATGATAGTCTCATATATCATATAATTATTAATATACTTATTAATTTGTTTATTTATTTAAATTTTAACTTATTTCATATCGCAATTTAATAGAATTATACATTGATTTATAATCTTTGCTTAACACATTTTACGGGGTAAATAGCAATTCGATTATTTGGGATAATTTTTTCTTTTTAAAATCCTTTAACTTTGGTTATAAAAAAAAAAAAAAAAAAAAAAAAAAGCGCATTTTATAAGAAACTTAACGTAAGAAAAAAACCATAAAACCATCTTAAATGAAGATAGAGTAATTGTGAATATCGACGATGTAATATTTTTTAATGGCCAGCTCAATTTAAGTGATAGAGAGAGAAAGCAAGAATTAGAATACAATAAAGTTAAACATGATGATTGCTTTTACAGGTTCGAAGCCTTAAATCTATCGTTCAAAAATATGTGCAAGTTGAAGCCACTATTACAAAAGTGGTTGGAGGACGCTGACAACTCGCTAAACAATCCAAACTCTCTGTCGAATCCGATGACGACCCCGGAGGCGATTGGTAGGCGGAGGAAAAAGAGAACCTCT